TGTGTTAGTGCTGGGATCGGGGTCCATGGGGCTGTACTGACATCTGGGGCCCCTGGGGGTTACCAGTTGGGTGTATTAGTGGTGGGGTTGGACTCCATGGGGTGTGCCGAAGTGCAGGGGTTCTCTGGGGCTCAGTGTTGGGGTGTGAGTATAGGTCATGGGTGACTTGTGATGGGGTGCGGAGGGATGGTCCAGAGACTCTAGTGCATGGGTCCCAGGGCCTGTGTGGGGGATCACACCACCACACTTCCCCCCTGCCTGTCTGCTGGCAGCTGGCTGAGGCGGGGTGGGAGAGGCTGTGCTTGCCTGGCACTGGGCCTTGACCACAGGGGCAGGGTCTGCTGGACACTTGACCAAAGCAGCCGTCTACTGGCTAAGTGCTAGCATGCCTCCCCACCAGGGAGGGATAGAGCAGGGGTGCAAAGCACACTGGGATGCTGGAGAACAGCCATCTAATCTGATTTGATAGTAGAACAGTACAGATATTTGATAGATCATTCTAATCTGAATCAGTCTCAATTTAGTGCATCTCAGCCATGATCTGTTCTAGGTTACTTGCCCTTTTTAGATCAGTCTATGTGGGGTGAACATCTGTACAATTACAAAGTTCAGATCAATCTACATTCACTTGAATGTACTTGAATCTACATTAGAGTCATCTGTCTAAAAGTAATGTCTGTACATGTTCCTAGACAGTGTAACTACTTGGACTATTAGTGCTGAAAGCAGAAAAAGACCAAAAATCAACAAAAACATCATGCAAAGTGTTCATTAGGAGAACACTAGCTACAACTAATTAATTAGTTCTTTTAATGAAAAATTAAAATGGCATGTCGTTTTCAATTAAAGAGACATAAAAGGGTTATATATGGAGTCTGATTATCTGTAGTTTATTACAGAGAGGCTGTTGTTGAAACTCTACAGCTAGTGGGCCGATTAAACTATTTTTGCTGTAATCTATGTGGTTGTCCACTGTTAATTATATTTTTTTATATTTTCATATACATTACTTTTCAGATATTTTCAACATACTTTATCAACATACTGACCTTTTCCACACACTTATGAGACAGATAAATATTATCTCTTTTACAGTGAGAAAACTAAGGCACAAAAATTAATTAAACACCTTACCAAAGCTTAAGCAGGAAGTTGTAGTGAAACTAGCAACAAGCCCCAGATACATCCTTGTTTCATGCTTTGCTCACAAAACACATTTGCTTCTTAGTTGTTTTGCATGTTTTACCTCTTGAGAAATACACTATTTTAAAAGTATCTGTCACAGGGAGAAACAGAAAGGAGGACCCCAAATTACCAAGGAGGAACCCCGGGGTCAGGAACCCTCAGAGGGAAAGGAAAGAAAAGGAAAGGAAAAGATAAAGGGAGATATTTACCTGCAGCAGGACCTGTGGCGAAGCCAGAACCCGGGAACGAACCCACGCGGCTCCTCAGCCCCGCCTTTATACAGCTATGGCTGGACAGTGACGTCAGCCGCGATCACGGGCCGGCAGAAATAGAACAGGCCGCCGGCAAAGAGCAGGGGGGCAGGTTGATGCCTGCAGGATCACCAGCAGGAGGCGTCTCCCTGAAGCTCCTATGGGAGTGAAAGGAGCCGGAAGCTGCTTCTCCCAGCAGAGAAAGATGCTTCAGCACACGCTGCAAGCCAGAGCCTGCTGGCTGCAGCGAAAAGAGCCAGGAGCTGGAGGCGGCTCCTCAAGACTGGGAACCTGGGCAAAAGGGCAGAGAAGCGCAGGAAGACCCTGACGCCAGTGGCCACAGCAGAAGGGCTGGAGAGGCCAACACAATTCACGGCACCAGGGGAGTCGAAGAAGCGCACCAGTGGGAGATGGGAGGCAAGAGCAGCGTGAGGGGCTGCGAAACACGGCCCTTGGTGGTGTAGGGCCAATCCAGCGGGTGACGAGAGGACAGGCGTCCACTGGAGGACTACAGCGGATCCGGAGAAACCAAAGGCTGGGCAACGAGGGATTGGGGGTGGAGTCCGCAGGCTACCCCGGCCATATATAGGGCCGAACGCAGGCCTATAGTGTCAGGAGTGGGTATTAGCGACTAAGCAGAGGGAGCCTAGCAAGGAGATAGCTGGGCCCCTCAGAGTGCATTAGTGATTCTCTTTGGGTTGTTTTTTTTTTGTTTCCCACTGTTGAAGGGGTTGAGAGTCAGAGCTCATGGAGCCAGAGTGTTACCTAAGCCTCGGGGTTGGTTGGTAGCCTTAGGAAAAGGGCGGCGGCCTTGTAGCCCAGGTAGGATACCGCAGACTGCTTATGCTTAAGCAGGAAGGACCACGCCGGCGAGAATAGTCAGGGGCTCAACCGTCGGGAACCTGGCCAGGAGGACAGCTGTGACCCGTCAAGACTGGGTGTAAGGGCAAGGTAGAGGGGAGGTGGAGCCTCGCAGAAGACCGCTAGACAGATGTTCCGCCATCAAGAGACTCCCAGTGGTTGGACCCTCCACTGAAATAACATTCAAAGTCATGGCAGGAAAGATTGGGGAAGACCACACTGGAAGCAGACACCTACTCAACGGACCACCAGGGACGGTATGGCTAACACCACCAAACATCCAGGCCAGAGCTGCACGTGACCGGGTGTTCGAGGCCAGGCGGGCACAGTATTGATATTCTTAGTTGGAAGTTTGGCATTTGAATTTATTCCTACTATAGCTCTCTTCTATTCATTCTCCTATTCATTATTTATTTGTATTTCTCAACTTCAGTGTTCAAAGGGCCTACTGTGCTGAAATTGCTATGAAAAATTTGAGTATCACCTGGAATTGGAACTTAAATCCAGGTCCCACCCCCGACACTGGGGAAAAAAAATTAAGTTAAGATTATTAATCGCCTTAAGAAAGCTGCCTGCTGCCCCCAAAGAACCTCCCCACCCCTTTCCCCCGCCCTGCTGCAGCCTCAGTGCCAGCAGGTGTGTGTGCATGCACACGTGCACACACGCATGGACGGAGATGGGAGGACCCAAAAAGAGGACATATCCAGGAAAGCCCAGACATATGGTAACCCTAGGTTTGACTCTTTTGCAGGCTGAGAAAGACATTGAACTCTAGTTTCCCACAGCCTGGGCCAATGTTTTAAGCATAGGTCTACTGTACAAAAGTGGGGAAGTAGCACCACCACCAGTCATAGTTGCGAATGAGCTACAACCACTAGTCTGTGTGAACTATATACTCCACTGGATGCATGCTAGAGAAAACACCTACCAGAAAAATCCCCTGCCAGGAAATAGAGGAACTCAATTCAGTGATTCTAAACACGCCAAGCTGATCAACTGTGCCAAGGCATCATCAAAGCCAGTTAGGCACAGCAGCAGAGATTGAGGCACCTCAGGAACTTTACTGATAAACACTTAGGTGCCTACAGACTTTAGACACCTAAGGGGCTGGGCAGGGGTTTTGAAGGTGTGCACTCTTCCATGTGAGCACCTCTATACCACATAGATCCTTAAGACTGGAACAGTTTACCCAGAGAGGTGGTGGAAGCTCCATCCTTGGAGGTTTTCAAAACCTGGCTGGACAAAGCTTTAGCTGGGGATCTAGTTGGGGATCTAGTTGGGGATGATCTAGTTGGGGATGGCCCTGCTTTGAGCAGAGGGTTGGACTAAATGTGGCCTCCTGAGGTCCTTTCCAACCCTCATTTTCTAGGATTCTATTATTCTAAGACCTTTATAAATTAGCCTGCCAGGCTCACTCATGGGAGGAAGGGTTTTTTCAAAAGAATTCAGCAGCAGTGTCCTGCTGAGGACCACGATTCAGCCAGCTGCTTTTGAAATTGCTGGCTGGAAACCCCACCCAAGCAAAGAGGAATGCCTCCCGCAGTCATTCTAGCCTGTTCAGGGTAGGCAGCATCCCTTGATGTTTTGTATCATGTGCTACTGGCAAGTTGAATACCATGACCAACTAAGGTGGTTTTCCTAGCTGCAGGGGAAAACCACTTTCTCGGCAGGGGGCAGTACCCCGACTGAGGTAATTATAGTTAACCTCCCTTTCACTTCCAGTAGGAAGATCTTGGCTATGCCCTGACTTAATGGATTGGGAGACTTCACCCTTGCTTGCTCCTATGGCCCTGTGGTTAAAGGAAGCAAAACTTGGGGGCATCCAAACCCCAAGTCTCCTGGTTTGGGCCTGCACATAGGATGCCAGCCAAATGATTTGGAAGCATCTGAAGCCCCAAGCCGGGCAGGGCCACATATGGTTCTTGAATGACTCACAGATTTAGAATTGATTTGGCTGATCTGACCAAAAAAAACCCTTTAAAAAAATACCCCAAAACTATCAGGTTTAAGCCCAACTCCCCCTCCTCCCCAGCACTAAGTCATGAAGGATGTACACGAGCCTAGAAAGAGGCTCAGAAAGGGCAAGGGGATGGGGCTGCTAGGGGCTCTGATGCCCAGAGCCTACAGGGTAATCCACGCATCCTGGTTCTCATTTAAAAAAAAAAAAAAAAAAAAAAAATCCCCCATTTAGGGTTTAAAAAAGTAACCCCAAATCCACATTTTTTCCATGATTAAAATGATACACCACTATATATCTATCTGTGTATTGTGGTGTTTCATTTATATCACGGGAAAATGCGGATTTGGGGTTACCTTTTTTTTAACCCAAAATTCGGGATCTTTTTAGAGGAGAGAAATCCAGGGTCCCTGGCCTCTCCCGGAAAACCACGCAGAAGGAGGCGCGCAGGGAGGCTCCTGAGCCCCACTACACGCAGGCCAAGCCTAGCACCCGCCCTCCCCCCGGGCTTGCGCTCTGTGCAGCCTCCCCTCACAGAACCGCAAACCCTGCCCCTTGCGTCGCGGACACGGTAGCAGGGACGAACTAACGGTCGCTTCGCCGAAGCAGCGACGCTCGAGTGGGGCCAGGCCACGCATGCGCAGAGCTAGCCCCCTACTTAGGCCCCGCCCCCTATGTCGCGAGCGCGGTGAGGGATGTGGGGAAGTAGTGATCCTTTCCCCGAAGCTGCGGCGGTTGGGTGGGGTCGGGTCGGGTTGCGCATGCGCGGGGCCGGCGGGGACAGTAGTTCGGCGGGATGGCGGCAGCTGGGTTTCCGTGCAGCGAGTGCGCGCTGTCGCTGGCGGCGCTGAGCTTCCTGGCGGCACTGGGCTCCGGCAGCTGTGCAGGTGAGGGGGGCCGGGGTTGAGGGCACGTGCCTGGCCTTGCTACACCTTACATCTCTATGGCGCATCTCACGCTGTAAACGGAGAGCGGCTGCCCCTGCAAAGTGGTTGACACCGGATCAGGACTAGACAGCTCTCATGAGAGCCCATAAAGCTCAGGGCTGGAGGACGTGTGGCTCCGGAAAACATGGGACGGCTGCGAAGCCGGTGGGTCTGGGTTGGACGGCATGTCGGGGCGCAGCGCTGCTCCCTGAAGTGAGGGTCCAGGCAGGTTGAGACCTGCTGGTCGTCCCCGGGTCTCACTCCCTTTCTGCAGCCACTCTTGGCCACCGAGTGAGGCAGGGAAGTTTGATTCGTGTGGGGAAGCGGGTGAGCCCACGGAGAAGCTGCAGCCGCCCTCCCCTCCCCCCTGTTTGAGGGCATCATGAGGTGTACATTGACTGATGCCAGGGGACAGCAGAACTGAAATAAGGGACGGGAGCGAGGGTCAGAGGTTCAGCGCAGGTGCTCCAAGCGGGGGGGTGCCGAGCAGAGTACAGCAGCCAGCACCCACTGGCCCCAGAGGGGTCTGAGGACCCAGTAGATGCCACCCAGCAAAACTCTGCCCAGCTGTGAACGGATGAGGAATAGGAAGACTGCCCTGCAGTGGCCGGGCAGGGCATGACACAGGCCTATGCGGGACACAAAACTACCATGAATCTCTTAGCTCCTTCTGTTGTGATGGGGAGCTATGAACTGCACCAACCAATTTCTTGGGACAGCTTAGGAACAGTAACAGGAGTGAGGGTCACAGGTTAACAACAAGTCCTCTGGGGGTGGGAGGGAGATACCGAGCAGAGCACACTGGCCAGTGCCCACTGGATCCTCAAATGAGACCAAGGAGGCACTGGACGCTGCCCGATGGAAATCTGCCTAGAGATATGACCAGATGAGGGACAGGAAAACGGCCCTGCTGTCACTGGGGCTGTGTTACCCAGGTCTATTTGATGTGCATTGGGAATGTGGACTAGTGCCCTCCAAGTAAAGCTGAAAGCCCCCCTTAATATGGGGGACCTCTACGTGCACATCAAGTGATTACTGGGGTCATATAAGGAAGAAAAGAGGGATGGGAGTGTAGGTCATAGGTTAAAAATCAGTGCATCCAGCAGGGATACTGAGCAGAACACACCAGACAGTGCCCACTGGCCCTTGAGCAAGTCCAAAGAGCCAGTGGAGACTGCCCAGTGAAACTTTGCCTGGAGATATGACTGAATGAGAGAAAGGATGGTGGCCTTGCTGTCTCCTGGGGGCTGCGAGACACAGGCTGTTTGATGTACGCGGTGGATCATGGGCTTGGGTCCATCAAGGAAGAACTATAAATCTCCTTTAGTAGGGAGGCCACTGGGGACATGTCAGCTGAGTTTGGGGTGGGACTACTAAAGAGAAAACAGAGACAGGAGCAGGTTAGAGGTTTAAAACAAGTGCTTCAAGGGGGGATGCTGAGCAGAGCACACCAGACAGTGCCCACTGGCCCTCAAACTACTAATCCAAGGAACCAGTGGATGCTTCCCAGTGAAACTCTGCCCTGGAGACATGAACAGACAAGGGACAAAAAGGTGGCCCTGCTGTCATGGGGGGGCCGTGTGACACAGGCCTTTGATATTCTGTTCCAGAGCATGGGCCAGAGCCTGCCAAGTAGAGGCATAAGCCCCCTTTGACAAGGCCCACTAACGGCACATCACTGGTCGCTTGGGACAACTAATGGACAAAATAGGGATGGTGAGGGTGATAGGTTCAGAACACACCGAGGGGGTATACCAAGCAGAACACACAGGACTAGGGCCCCTGGCCTTCGAATGAACTCAGAAAAACAGTGGACACTGTCCAGTGGAACTCTGCCCAGGGACCCCCCAGACAGTGCCCACTGGCCCTTGAGCAAGTCCAAAGAGCCAGTGGAGACTGCCCAGTGAAACTTTGCCTGGAGATATGACTGAATGAGAGAAAGGATGGTGGCCTTGCTGTCTCCTGGGGGCTGCGAGACACAGGCTGTTTGATGTACGCGGTGGATCATGGGCTTGGGTCCATCAAGGAAGAACTATAAATCTCCTTTAGTAGGGAGGCCACTGGGGACATGTCAGCTGAGTTTGGGGTGGGACTACTAAAGAGAAAACAGAGACAGGAGCAGGTTAGAGGTTTAAAACAAGTGCTTCAAGGGGGGATGCTGAGCAGAGCACACCAGACAGTGCCCACTGGCCCTCAAACTACTAATCCAAGGAACCAGTGGATGCTTCCCAGTGAAACTCTGCCCTGGAGACATGAACAGACAAGGGACAAAAAGGTGGCCCTGCTGTCATGGGGGGGCCGTGTGACACAGGCCTTTGATATTCTGTTCCAGAGCATGGGCCAGAGCCTGCCAAGTAGAGGCATAAGCCCCCTTTGACAAGGCCCACTAACGGCACATCACTGGTCGCTTGGGACAACTAATGGACAAAATAGGGATGGTGAGGGTGATAGGTTCAGAACACACCGAGGGGGTATACCAAGCAGAACACACAGGACTAGGGCCCCTGGCCTTCGAATGAACTCAGAAAAACAGTGGACACTGTCCAGTGGAACTCTGCCCAGGGATGTGAATGGACATGGGGCAGGAAAACAGCCCAAAACAGCCCTGCTGTTTCAGGGGGCTGTGTGACACAGGTCAGTGGGCAAGATGGACCTATAGTCTGACCCAGTAAATAACAATTCTTATGTTCCTATGTTGTGGTCTTATGCTCAAGGTTAACTTGTTCAGAGAGGTATGAGCTTTCCAGATGTAGTCTATGTGGTCAGATGCTATGACTAGATCAGTGATTCTCAGCCAGGGTGCTGTAATGACCTTCCCCCCGCCCTCAGTGCCTTGAGATCCTCTCAGGGGTGCCATACAGTGTTAGCATGGCTAGGTATCCCAAATGTAATTCACAAGATAACCCCAGAACTTTCACATAGGAATCTATAGTGTTAAAACAGTTCTTCCCTGTTGTGGTCCAACTTCTTTGCAGCAGAAGAATACCTCTGTTATTTTTCTGTAGTCAAAAAGGAAGTGAAAAGTAAGAGCATTTTCTGAGGGGTGCCTTCAGTCTAACAAAGTTAAGAGCCACTGGACTAGATATTGGTCAAATGTCTATAGTATCTGATGTAAACTGTAGCCTACAAAAAAACTTGTGCCTCTCCAAAGGAATGAGTCTTACATTGACAGGTGTGCCGTAAATTAGCCCTGCACCTTCCCTGAGTGCCACCCTTGTCCCTTTCCTCTACCCAATCTGCTGCTATGCTCCCTGCTTCCAGATCTGCTGCATGCCGCGCACAGAGGCTACCCATGGCACCTGTGCCAAAAGCTGTAACCTCTGTATTAGGTCTCACCCTGCCCTGCCTGCCTTCAGATTAACCCTGCTAACTACTTCTCCATGTAGAAGGAATATTTGTCCATATATATTTAGTCTTAGAACAGATATTTGTATTTTAAAAATCAAAATAGAAGGATACATTTTGACTGATAGAAAAAAAGTATATTTTGTCTCATCCTATTCACTTGCCTCTTCTTTTAACACTTATCTTCCCATTGGAAGTCTACCTTCATCTCTTTACATCTACTACTTACCTTCCTGTTTTCTTTAGCAGTTGTCCCTCACAGCAATGTCATGTGAGGTTTTCTGTTGAACAGGGTGATTTGATTTAAGTCACTGATGTTAAACATTAGTTGGTAAACATTCAAACATGTTTATAAATATAGTCTTTATACTCATTTTGAAACTCCTTGGCGCACAATCTGGATACCATCTAATCTCTCTATGTTTATGTAAACAGTTATATCCTGTGGCATACATTCAGTTGGGTTCTTCTTTTTTACATTTTTTATTTCATTATACCTGTTTTAGTAAATGATAAATTATTTTTGTATGACTTGTGTCAAGCTCTGCTTCAGATGGAAAATTGGAATTCAGTTAAAAAGCTATTCTCATGCATTTTTTTTAAATATTTTAACTAGTTAAATACAGTTATTTTAAGGTAATATAAATATGTAATTAAGAAAAAAAGTGTAAGTTTATCTTAACATACTTTGTGTTTAACATTAATATATTGATCTAGTAACCAAAGACTTAGCTGTTGTGAGGCAATAGAACTAAAACTCTCTGGTTACCACATCCTGTAGCATGCTTAGGACCAGCAATTGGTGTAGGAGGTCAGACAGCAGTTGCTGTAACTTTGCATCTTTAAAGCCTGATTTAAAAGCAAAATAAAAGCTTCCTGTGGTGCAGTACCATATTACAATTGAAAATTATTCTTCCTGATTCTGTTTCATTTTTTTCCATCCCTGCCACTCCCCTGGCCAGTTTATTAGTACAGTCTACTTATTTACATAATTTTGCTGAGAAGGAAGATGTCACTGTACACTGACTCTGACCTTTTGTGTAGTCTTACTCTTGGCTATAAAATAAGTTTTAAAATTACTATTACAAATCAGATTTGAAATATGAAACCCTCTTTTATTGAACCTATAAAGCCGTATTGATTTTTCTTAAACATACTAGTTTTGAGGGATTAGTGTCTATATGTGAGTGTTACCTTGTTGACATTTTCAACCTCTGCATTTTGTTTTCTGAAGAGACAAAGACTTAGGATAGCTGTCTTTACACCTAAACATTATTTTCCTGTAGTTCTCTGAAGCTGCTTTTGCATGATGTTAGTATTTTTCTCAGGGTAAGGTAGAAACTATTAGGGCTGTGCGAAGCTTCGGTCCCTAATTCAGTTCAGCAGAGATTTGGCCCAATTCGGTGGCCGAATCTCCAAATCAAATTAGGAGACCCTTTAATTTCTCCAAAACGAATCGGAACCCTCTGAATCGGAGAGATTAAGAAAGATTCACGCTTCAGACAGACACAACTTTAAATGTATTTTCTACATGCCTCGAGGTACCAGGCTTGGCTCATGAACACCGCGATGCTGGGGCTCATGGAGTGTTCAGGGGCCTCCCCAGTGCACTCGGC